CCCTAACCCCTAGCCCCTAACCCCTAACCCCTAAACCCTAAACCCTAAACCCTAAACCCTCGAGCCCAGTGAGCCGAGAGCCCGAGAGTGGAGAGACACTCAGTTGAGGTCCTCGGCGGTTGCGAGGCTGGCCGCTTATTGTTCAAGGGCTCATGGGTTTAGGGTTTAGGGTTTAGGGTTTAGGGCTTAGGGTTTTGGGTTTTGGGTTTAGGGTTTAGGGTTTAGGGTTTAGGGTTCAAGGGTTCATGAATCTTAAGCAGCATGTCCGCAGCTCTGAACCCGCGTTTTTCCCTAAACCCTAAACCCTATATGAATGTATATATATATATATATAGACGGTAGCTTCGGAGCTGCGAGTAGCTTTTGGACTGACAGACGTCCTGGCAGGTGTTCACCACGGCAGAGATCGTGCTGGTCGAGCTTGTGGACCTCGTGTTTAAGCAGCTCCGCAGCATTTTAGCCTTCACAGCTATACTAGGGTTTAGGGTTTAGGGATATATGTCTGCGAAAAGTCTACTCATTAAGATAAGTTTCGGTTCGGGTTTAGGGTGTCAGGAGTTGCAAGGTGCCAAGGAGTGGTAGGTTTCAGCTTCAGCACCTGCATGGTTTCCTTTTTCGGGCTCAGCCTTTCAAGGAAAAGCCCTAAACCCATCAGTGCCTTTTCTTAGTAGCTGAAGGAGTACACTTCAAAGCTTTTAGGCGGTAATATGAACCCCAAAAAAACTGAAAGTGTACACTTCTTTGTGCTTATGAACTCAGCAAGCACGATAACCCTGTGCTCAGTTCCATGATGCAAGATCTGGAACCCTAAAACCCTGAACCCTAAACCTAAACCCTAAACCTAAGCCCTACACATGGTGATAGACCTTCAGACTCCAAACCCCTGAACCCTAAACCCTAAACCCAAGCCAAGGCGGACCTACGACGATGCCACGGGTTTTGAAGAGTTGAAAGTCCTTCCCCGGGAAGCAGAGACGGCTGGATATTCGCCGCCAGGGCCGGCTTAGGTCTATCTTTGGCAAGGTGGGGTTTACTTGGTTTTTGCTATATATAGTTGTGTGTGTGTGTGTCTACATATATATATATATAATGATATATCCCTAAACCCCAAACCCTAGATGGGGTATTTAATTTAACTTGCTAGAATAGGGATCTCGAGTCAACAATATGGTCTCTTCGTTATGGCAACGTAGACTCATTTCCGTAACGTTACGGGGCTTAGTTTAAGCGTCTATAAGAGGTAGGGTTCGGAGCTTTATGGAATATAGGTACCCTAAACCCTAAACCCTAAACCCTCTTACCCTAAACCCTAGACCCTAGACCCCAAACCCTAAACCCTAAACCCTAAAACCCTAAAGCCCTAAACCCTAAACCCTAAACCCTTGTGCTGCTCGGACTTTTCGGGGTGTAGGCTGGGAGGCCTCAAGCTTGCGAGTTCGTGTTTAGGGTTTAGGGCTTAGGGTTTGGGGGTGATAGGGTTGAGGGTTTAGGGTTTAGGGTTTGGGGGTGATGGGGTTGAGGGTTTAGGGTTTGGGGTTTGGGGGTGATGGGGTTTGGGGGTGATGGGGTTGAGGGTTTAGGGTTTAGGGTTTGGGGGTGATGGGGTTGAGGGTTTAGGGTTTACGGTTTGGGGGTGATAGGGTTGAGGGTTTAGGGTTCAGGGTTTGGGGGTGATAGGGTTGAGGGTTCAGGGTTCATGGCCTGGAGCGGAGGGGCAAAGTTGGTGTCCGGGTTCAACAAGCTTCAACGACTCGGGCTATGTAAAGGTTCTAATTCCCAGGCTATAAACCCTGACAGCGCGAAACGAACAGCAACTTAAAATCCTGGAAGCCCCAAAAACTACTAAACTTGTGTAGGCCCGCCCTAAACCCTGATCATCCCCAGCATCCTACGACACGCCCCGCCCAAGACCTAAAGATCTAAAGAAGCCTATAAAGTAGGGGCCTTAAGTAGAATAGGCTTCTGGTGGTTCTTGATTTTCATTCTAGTATAGTATACCCCAAACCCTATTCTAATTATTAAGGCTCCTATAATATACACCAAAACCCTATTCTAAACATTATTTTCATTCTAGTGTAGTATACCGCAAGCCCTATTCTAATTATTAAGGCCCCTATCATGAGCCCGAACGTCCGGTCCCCACGGTTTCTCTCGGCCACAAGCGCCCTGGGATGGAGATCCGACACCAGCTGCAGATAAAGAACGGAAGCGGAGAAGGACCTAGGGTTTAGGGGTTTAGGGGTTTAGGGTTTAGGGTTTAGGGGTTTAGGGTTTAGGGTCCGAGGTTAAAACCGTAAGTCCTTAACCCCTGAACCCTTTTTGCGAAAGCCTTCCGGCATGACCAAAGCCGACTCTATGCCGAAAGTACACCCTAAACAAGAAGCCACAAAAACCTTGAACAGTCGGGTTTTAGGACGAGAGTTTAGACTTTAAAAAGCTATATCCCCCCCAAAGTAATGGGGGAGGTATTGGCGTTGATGCATCAGGTCGTTTGGCGGTAGTCGTGTTGGAGCATGTCGGCCTTGGGTGTATAATGTAGTAGTTCTTTGTTTACACGTTTTCGGGGTTTGAGCTGTATAGTCGGGGGTGTGGTTCTGGTAGTGCTGGGTTTGCGGGTTAGACTCAGGGTGTATAAGGTACAGGGGGTCGGGTTTCGGGCTTTGGGTTAAGGGTTTGCGGTTTAGTTGTAGGATCAGTGACTATTGACTTTCTTCTTAGGGGTCCTGGCTGTGGAACAGTACCCCAAGAGCCTGTTCTAGATCGGTAGGTCCGTGCATTATTATTTGTCGGTCGTACGCCGCGGCTTCGCTTGGAGGGGGAATACTTTGACAGCGTGTAAAGCTTCAAGTTTGACTTTCTGAACCCTAAACCCTAAACCCAAAAACCCTAAACCCTAAACCCTAAAACCCTAAGCCCTAAACCCTAAAACCCAAAACGTGCCAGTTGAGGCGCTCGGTTGAAGGTTCAGGTGCTTCTTTTTTGCTGGGGTGGGGGAATCGATTTGGACACTTCGCTGTGTAGCCTGAAGCCTAAACCGTTAGACCGCGCATGAAGAAGTGTGTGTGTGTGTGTGTGTGTCATAGGAATATGCACACGTACATGCGCGTGTGTGTGTGTGTGTAGAGAGAGAGAGAGAGATATATATATATATATATATGCATATGCATCCATGTACACACACTTATATGTTTGTTCGCGTGTTTGTCCGTCCGTCCGTCGTCCGTCTGTCCGTGTGTGTGTGTGCATATATAAATATACATAACATGTTTACACAGGCACACAGCTTCTCGTGAGGGAGACAAAAAGCACTGCAACTCACTGGTCCTTTATTCTTTCCGCTGTGTGCCATACTCGACGGAAGGTTTAAGGAAGGCACAGAGGTAGAGATGGAGAGAGAGAGAGAGAGAGAGAGACCACCCTAAACCTGAACCTAAAACCCTGCCCAAGTAACTTAAAGCCAAAATCCCAAAGTGCCAGGCAAGCCTAAACCTTAAACTCTAACTCGCAATCTAAACAGATCCAAAAAACTTATACACCCATTCCGGAGCTCATTGCACCACAACGGCCATGCTGGCGCACTTACGTCGGGGTCTGGCTCCGGCATCCAGGCTGGGGGGTTCGGCTCGGGGCTTGGCATGGCGTGGGTTTTCGGATTTGGGTTTAGGGGTTTAGGGTTTAGGGTATAGGGTTTAGGGTTTAGGGTTTAGGGTTTTCGGATTTCAATTTGTAGGGTTCCAGGGGTTGTAGGGCATTGGAGTTCAGGGTTTCTTTCGGGCTTCGGAGCCTAATTAGCGCTTCAGGGTGTTCTTTATTCGAGTTTGGGTTTTAGATATTTGGGTTGTCGGTTTAGGGCAGAGTTATGTGAAGAGTGCCTTTTGTGTGTTTGGGAATTTGGGACAATGACTGTGAAGCATAGGCTAAACCCTAGAATCCCTTAGACCCTTGTGAACCGTGGTAAAGCCCTGTAACTGTTGATGCTTTAGAAACACATGCCGCATGTGGGCAAAGACCCTCTGAGCTTGTCTGGATCCCAACGAACTCACCCGGCGAAGGAGGAATATAACTTAAGGAAGTCCCGACAAAAAAAAGCCTCTAGTGGTAGGCTATTTAGGGTGCATGTTAATATGCAGTTCTTCAACATTGACAGGCTTTAGGCTATTAGTGGTTCAGAGTTTTCAGTTTTGGGATTTAGGGACATTCACGGCTTAGCGCGTTGCTGCGCAGGCAAATCTCGATCCGTTTTGCCACTACCGCACAGCCGCTCGGCAGGCAGCTTTGCATGACCCTAAACCCTAAGCCCTAAACCCTAAACCCTAAGCCGAGAAGTTCAGGTGCACAGGTCAGGTTTTGATGCAGCAAACCAATCATGAAGACGTCAGCTCACATGAGCTAGGGTCAGTATGTTGAAGGAGATACATCAGAGGTCCCTTCGTTGTAGACCTCTGCACCACGGAAACCCCAAAAAGCCTAAAGACCTACTCAAGCCCTTCAACCTCCATGCCCCGAAGCTAACATCCAGAGGGTCGGAGTTTTCTTGGTAATTAAATTCCCTAAACCTTAAACCCTAAACCCTAAACCCTAAACCCTAACATGACAGCAGTGTAATGGTCTTGTCCTGAGCGTCAAGGTCCCTATGCCCTAAACCCGCGACCCTCAACTCCTAATGTAGGGGCCTCAATAGTTACCTATATTTTTTTGGGGGTTCCTCATTATAGTTATGCTGTAAAGGACCCCAAAACCCTGTTCTAATTCTTAAGGGCCCCAGAATTCTCCTAAACCCTTTAATCACCCTGAACCCCAAGCTTTCCGCACCCTTTCTAGACCCCTACCCTAAACCCTAAACCCTAAACCCTAAACCCTAAACCCTAAACCCTAAACCCTAAACCCCAAACCCTGACTTAAATGAAAACTGCTTCTTTGAGGGCCGCCCCGGCGACTCCATCCTGGGCAAAGCCGCTGTTATGGGCCGGAGTCGCAACGTCGCAGGCCAACCACGGAGCTTTAGGGTTTTAGGTTTTGCGGTTTGGGGGGTTTAGGGCTTTGGAGCTTTAGGGTTTTAGGTTTTGCGTTTTTTTTTCGGGGGGGGGTTTAGGGTTTGGGCCCTAAACCCCTAAACCCTACGCCCGAAAGCCTAAACCCTAAACCCCTAAACCCTAAACCCCATACCCTAAACCCTAAACCCGAAACCCTAAACCCCAAACCCTAAACCCTAAACCCTAAACCAGAAACCTTCAGCAGGTGAGCCTCTTCTACCTCTTCAGGGACTTGGCAGATTTGTCACAGTGGGTCGTGGAGCCACCGCGGGCAAGCACCATCTCCACATGGAGGTCGCAACCTTAGGGTTTAGTTAGTTTAGTTTAGGGTTTAGGGTTTACTGGCTTTAGGGGTTTTGGGTTTAGAGCTTCGAGGGTTTCAGGTTTTAGGGGTTGGGCTTTAGTGGGGTTTAGGGTCAACCTTTCTTTTTTTGTATCTCGGGCTGTTAAATACCGCTTATATAGGGCTTATATACCTAGATGTGTAGCGTCTTTCTTGTCGTCAAACAGGATTCTGAAGGACCGTTGTGGGCGCAAAGTTTGAGCTTTACATACGGTTTGCATTGTGTGTTTTTTTGGTCCTGCCAGTTGTGTGACTTGAACATCTGGTAGAACTTGACACAGATGCCATAGTTCCAGTCGGGTGTAGGGAGTGTAGGGCTTGGCGATTTTTGGAATCTGAAGTTGCAGGTGGCAGAATCTGTATTCCGCCGTCACGCTTGTGCCGATGGGCCTGTGCACCACCCTCAAGGCCAAGCAGGGTGTGCGCTAAGAGTCCTTCGGGGGTGTACAGTGTAGAAGCTTATTTTATTGACAGTAGTTCTCCATGGTGATCCTTGTTTTCATGTTTTTATGCATACCCCGAATTCCCCGTTGAACTTATTACTACAGACCGCATATCATAGAACCCTTATTATTACTGTTGTAACCCTTTTTAGCCGTTGTCAACCCAACAAAAAGGAAATCATGAAAGCAGCCCGATTGAACCCGTTAAGGCCCTGATATTCTCTGGTTCTTGAGCACACCAATCCTCAGGGCTGATGCTCAGAACCCTAAGGGTCCAAGTACCCATTATTTAAGGACTTTGGGGCCTTTTTGGGTCCCTAAAACCATGAATAAGGACTGCTTGGACCCTTAGGGGAATATAAAGTTCAGGGGTTGTGGCTCTGCCCTGGGGGGCTTTAGGATGAAAGCTTATAGCCGTATATGCTTTCTCTGAAGGATACTCGGCAGGTGCCGGGTGCCTACAAACACCACTCAGCGCCAAAGCCCATCACTCTATTAGCGTACCTGTCTGTAAGGGTTCTGCTCCAGGAGATTAGGGTTTAAAGCTTCCTTTGAAGAAAGCTATGCGGATTCCGGTGAGGGTTACTTTTTCGGATTTCGGGGCTTAGGGCCTCAGCAGCCATGCAGTTGCAAAGCCCTTCGGTCCTTGAGTGTTCCTTTGAATCATAGCCGTACCATCCTAGAAACTATCATATGAATCAAAAATTCAAGACGGCCGATGCCTGCCATGGCACCCTTCTTCTCCCCAAAGCACAAGAACATGTCCTAATCCTAGGCCTTCAGCCCCCGAAAGCCGCTAATCCCAAATCTTGCAACATTAGTTAGGGTTTAGGGTGTATAGAGTTTTCCTTAACCCCTGAATAACCCACATTTTCAGGGACTTACACAAAGAAACCATATTAAGGAACCCTAAAAAGGTAGGTTCTTTAGGGTCCGGGTTGGGTTTAGGGAAGCGTCCGCTCCCTGAAGGTTCTCTACCCTCATGTATGCTCCTGGCGAACGCTGCTGGCCATTGGGGGCTGGACGGGTCCTGTCGCTGTTGTGGATTTCGGTTTGGGGTCTAGGGCATGCATATGTATGTGTGTATGTGTGCATGCA